GACGAACTGATAACCTCCTCCTTTTTTGGAAGTCGGTTAAAAAATAAGACCTAAACACCGTAACCATCTGGCCGGTCAGCATATAAAAGAATTTGTTCTAATAAAACGGAGCCCAGGTATTATACAAATGAGTTTACCTAATTTAAGTTTTTTTAAATTATACAAGTACTAAATTTTTCTTATGCAAAAGGTTGTATAAACTAATAGTATTAGTTACTAAAAACTTCCAAGGTTCATTATTACACTATAGGTATAAGCAAAATAGGCCAAAATACCCATGCACGAAAAATACCACTTTTAGTACATTTATAAAAAATGCAGCAACCATGACTGAGCGCGACGCACTAATACCATGACAAAATGAGACTGTGTTGGTGTGCCCAGCTATGATTTAGATCAACTTGAGATCATATTAGGAAAACTTCAATATGCTGTAAAAAAAGTTTGATGTTTAGGTGGCCAATTTTCTAGAGCCTTTCTTTTTTCATAATTGCCAGACCGCATTCGTGTTTTTTTTTTGTTCGTCTCATTTTGTTGCACAGTGTAATTAAGGGGGTATATACTCGAGCTTTAGATCTATTGTGCTCTCTATTTATCACAATACCTCGTTCGGTTCTACAATCCTCAGAAAGTTTAGAGGAGCTTTTGTAGGAAGGGAATGTAGTATGTGCTCCGAGTCAATTGTCTTTGATTTTTTAAGGATTCGTAATAAATAAAAAAATATTATATTTTATAGGTATCTGCAATATCGAATTATAAAGGGAGCTTTCGTTTCACAATTGTCAATATAAATAAATCAGTAATTCAATGTAAATATAATCAGTTACACGAAAAAAAACATATTCGAAAAATTTCAATTCGCAAAAAATTAGGTATGCTTTTTCATTGATATTGTTCAGTTCATAATTATCCGAAAGTTTTAAAATATTAAACGCGCAAAAATTCTGCAGAAACTTCATACAACAGAAAATCATTCATTTCGTTCCATCAACAGCATAGCATACGCATGTTAAAGGGATTTTATTTAATACAAAATTACTTAATTTTTACTTTTCTTTCAAATAAATTTTAAATATTCACTTCAAACGCTTTGCGACACTGTATTGACGTTTTATTGTTTGCTTGTCAAATTCAGCTGTCATTCTTATCACTTTGTTTTCTTTTTTTTTGTTATCAACAAACTGGAACAACATGTGTTTTTTTGATAAGAGAATGATTTTAGTTTCTATTCTAATCATATATTAAATTCTAACGGAAATAGAACATAAAGAGATGTTTATCAGCAAATAGCTAAAAGTGCTTTATAGAAATGAGGTAGGTACATCTGATTTCAACTTGTGTGGTTATCCATTTTTATCCACGCTTTGGTGCTTGCAATGAAAAACTCAACTGGCGTACGAACTGTGGCCTCACACCACTGGCGGTGCACACGTACGTTCGTTCAAAGTCCAAACGGGTTAATAAAAACAAGTTGGGTTTGAATATGCAGCTTCAAAAAATAACATCGGATGTAAGTATGTATGTATATTCGTCGATGACAGACAGTTCACACTACATACATACATATGTATTTAAAATATAGTGCGCACTTCTCCCATGCAAGCGCCATTCCACACTTCATATCAATTTATATTAATGACCATCAATTGGCGTACTGGTTCTTTTTATGAATTTATTATATTTATATGTACATATTTTTATATTTTCAACTTAGAATTCTTAATATGCAAAGCATGTATGAGGTGTTGCTCTGTTCGGTTGCACTTATATAAATTTCACAATTTTCCTCTTTAGCTGCACTGCTCCCACTATGATGGGAGGTGGGCGATTTTACTTATAGACTGACAATGAAATGTCTTCTGACGTATGCAATTGATATATTTTAGCTATGGCACATGGTATGCACAAACATTCATACATATGTACATACATTAACAAACCGTGTATTGTCCTTCTGCAAAACCGCGTAACTGACATTTTCCAAAAATTGGATTTGCTCACAAAAGCTTTTGGCTCAATCCTTATCCATTCGTCCTAAAATATACTCGCCAGAAATGCGATTAATTTATAAAAAAGAGAACGATTTTGAAAAATGAGTCTTTTTACTCTCTAGAAAATAATTTATGCAACTTCACATACGCGGTTTGCATTTTGTTGGTACGCGGTTTTGTGCATTAAACGACGATATGTAAGTATGTATATACAGTATCTATAGGTTGGCGGAACCAACCGAAGTGCACACTAGCAAAAGTTTTTGCGAATTAGCAGGGCTGCTTTCCTACAAATATATGTACATATATATGTATGTAGCTACATACTTGCTTAGCCCACATTTTATACATATGTATTTTCTTCCATCTTAATGCAGTTAAATTACGCTACAAACTTCACAGTTATTTACATTTGTCTAGAATTACTTTATCAACCCGCTCCTAGCACTTAATGCTCCACACCTGTGCCACTATTTTATTTGTCGCACACTTTTTCCAATAAAAATTTGTCTCGAATTGTTTCCTCGCACATCCAGCGGCCGGCCATTGACTGATTGCGCTACCAAGCAAACGAGAGCTTCTACTTAGGGGTTTGGCATTTGTTGGTGGTTGTATAAATAATGTATGTATGTATTAGACTCCAGCGCAATTCCATTTAAACGGCCCAACAAGACATCCGATCGCCGCGCAAATACTTTCCATCCCCTACTTTCATCGTTCGGGTCAATTGTGAGTAAGCATAAACCAGTTTCAGCAAGCGTACGTAAACT